GCCGCACCGAGCCCGGAGCCGGCGCCGCGCCGCTGCCTTCCCCCTCCGACAGCGCCCGCTGCTGCTGCGGCTGCTCCTCCACTGCCGCCATCTTCGGCTCTGTTCCCTGCCGCCGCCGCTACTGCAGCCGCGCCGGGAGGGGGCACTTCCGGTGACAGTGTTTCCGGCACCGCCCCTCGCGGGGAGCTCTTAAAGGAGTAGGCGCGAGCTCCTCCTGCCCCGCCCCCCTGGGAAAGGGGTCGGGACCTGCGTTCGCACCGCCCGGAGTCAGCGTGCGAGGCGGGGGGGGGGCTCTTATTAGGGGGTAGCTGAGCCTCACCCATAAGAGAGAGAGCTGCCGTGTGAGATTTGAAAATCATAACCTGGGGCGATTTTATTAGGGCATCCCCATTTTTCTTGCAGATCCGCCCCGGAGTCAGTGTAATTGGAGCCCTGGTGGGAGGACGTGGAGTGCCCTCCTGCTCCGAGCAGGACCAGCCCCACCTGTCTGCCCCCAGCAGGGCTCTGTCTGCCGGCTCAAAACCCCTCCAAGCCGGGACGCTCCGCAGCCTGGCCCAGAGCTTCCCCGCCTCCTCCTCACAGAGGCTCCCTTCATCTCTGCCCTCAGTCTCCCCTGCTGCAGTGCAAGCCCATTGCTCCCTGTCCTGCCATGTCCTGCCCTGCCAATAGCCCACTCAGTCCTCTTCGGAGCCCCTTTCACAGAGTTGAGGGCTGCTATTACCCCCATCAGGCTTCTCATCATACTAAATAAGCCCAGTTCCCTCAGCTTCTCTTCACCACTCCTGTTCCCAAGCCCCTCAACTATTTTCATTGTCCTCTAATATAGTCTCTCCAACTTGTCCACATCCACATAGTGTGGGGCCCAAAGGTGGACACAGTACTCCAGGTGCAACTTCACCAGTGCAGAGTAGAGGGGAAGAATCACTTCCCCCTGTCTCAGGGGAGACATGGGCCACATCAGGCCCACAGTGGACTCCATTTCCCAGCAGCCCTTGCCCATGTCACTGCTGCTAGTTTCCATGGAGACCCCAGCAGCAGTGGGGCTGTGACTAGGGACCAGGGTTTCCATGGACCAGCCCCAGCAGCACTGGCAGGACATGTGGCTGGGCAGGGAGCTGCTCCAAGGCTAGGATCTTATGGTGGTGGTAGCATGGTCACGAGCTAGGGCAGAGCTGTGATCCGCTGCCCTCACATCTAGGGCAGGGGCATGCAGGCAGCAGATTGTGGCTCTACCTGGGCTCCAGACCACACTGTCACCACTTCAGGATCCCAGCCCTGGTCTCAGAGCAGCTCCTGCCCAGCAGTGTACCCTGCCAGTGCTGCTGCTGCTGGTCTGCATGGAAACCCTGGCCCTGCACTGTCATGGCACTGCCACTATTGGGTGTCCATGGAAACCAGCTGCAATGATGCTGGCAGGGGCTGCTGGGAAATGGAGTCCAACCACTGGCCATCTCCACCATTTTGTCCACCTCTGCTCTATCTGCTGGCAGTGTTCCTTCTAATGCAGCCCAGTATGCTGATAGCCTTTTTGGGAACAAAGGCATACTGTTGGCTCATCATATTCAGCTTGTTGTCCACTATAACCCTCAGGTCCTTTTCTGCAGAGTTCCTGACCTCACAACTCATCATCCTCTACCTGATCCCTCCTAAACTCTTCATTCCATAAGTGTGAGTGATCCCCCTTCTTTTTAATGGTCTGGATGTTCCACCAGTTAAGCTAGCCTTCATTTTGCCATGCTGCTGTCTGTCAGCTGCTCCTCATCATGAAGCTCCTACTTCACAGCCCAGCAGACTGTTTTTAACTCATTCCAGTGACATTCTATTTGTTTTCTGCTTCATCTTAGAAGGAATCATACAGCCCCAGGTCCCTAGCCTATTAATACAGCTTCTAGTTTATTTTTAACAGGAGAAAAATGTATGTTGTGTCATATGTAACAATGTACCTCACCATCTGCAGGCCACCCCCCTTCAAAATCCTGGATCTGCCCATGCCAGGATCCCACCTTGGATCCTGGCATCCATGCCAGGATCCCACCTTGGATTCAGCTAGAGAAGCAATAAATCAGGTGCCATAAGAGGAAGCAGCAGGGAAGCCATTGCGTGCATCAGCACAAGGGCACTCCAAAAATGTGCTCCGAAACAAGTATTTCCTATCTGGAAGCAGAGCACAGTGCACCCTGTACATATTTAGAGGCGTACTGACTTCTGCCCTGCCCCCTGCTAATGCAGCTCTAAAATTACAGACCAATATTGAAACAAGGCCTCCCTTTTTCTTTTCAAAGCTCAGGATCTGACAGCTTTTTCAACACAAACCATTAGTGATTAGAAACTGGGTTGCATCAATTCAGGCAAAACTGGTATCTTGGCTCACAAGGTCCAAATGGAGAGTTTGTTAACTTCCAAATTCACAAGAAATAAGTCACTTTTCACTTATGGTGGATTTTTTTTTTAATTGTCTTCAAAATGCTTTCCCGCTCTGCTGTGTCTCCTGAGCAGCTTGCTTTTTGAAGATCGGGTTCTTTAGATAACCAGTAATTAGCCTGCTGGGTTAAATGCAGCCCGTCTACTGATTCTTTAGGTTTTGATTCACACCACAGCACTGTTTGCTTTTCTCTATATCATTTTCTTGCACAATGGTCAGTTTGTGTTAATCTGCCCATGATTCACAATAGAAGCATAATTGTGGTTTAACATTTTAGCCCACAGTAAGTCATTGAGTGCAGTCCCGTGACCCCAGCAGTAGCTCCTGAGAATGTATAAATGCAGCTCTTAGTGCACATTCAATAATATGCCTGAAGGCAGTATTTACAGTTGATGCAGTACATATGTTCTGTACACTGTTAGAATTGCAACTTGTCCAGACCTTTGTAGTGTGTGCAAGAGTTGAAGACTTGAAAACAATCTTAAAAAAGTGTCAGAATGAATGTGGTATCCTGACATCATGATTGGGGTCTATCTTGGGATGAAATTTTTGTGGAATGTTTCCTAGATTTCATAGACATTAGGGCTGGAAGGGACCTCACAAGATCATCGGATCCAGCCCCTGCCCAAGGGGCAGGAAGTCAGTTGGAGTCAGATAACCCCAGTAAGATAAGCTTTTCAGCTATTTCTCAGAATGTTAGAAAAAAACAAATAATTTTGCCCATGTATAAATTCTTCAGCCACTTATCTGTTTCACAGTATGCTTAAAAAAATTAGCAAGAGAGTCATCCTGGTGTCAAAGAATACCTTTTGCTGTCTTGGAAGTTCTGCAAAATTGGCCAAGTGATAAACATTTGAAAGATCTCAGTTCACACATGCTCACTAGAAACTTAGAATTTGAAGTTACATCCTTTAAAGCAGTGGTCTCCAACCTTTTTAAGTAGGAGATCACTTCTGGCATTTAAGATCTACCATGTGCCCCTGCCACCCCTCCTTCCCCTGCCCAGCAGGTAAGTCTGTGTGGAGGAAAGGGAAGGGGGCAGATCAAGGCAGAAGGAGACAAAATTATTTGGGGGCACACCTCCACAGCAGATAAGTCTCACTCGGCTGGGACCCCACTCAACTTACCTCTGCTCCTGCCTCTGCGGCACTGTCTCTCACTGTGGGGGCCTTGATCTAGCCCTCACCCCTTCCCTCCTTCACGGACTGACCTGCTGGGCTGGGGTGCGCGTGTGCATGCACATGGGCACTCAGCTCCCCCCCAGCCTTGGATCAACTCCAAGAGGCTGTGAGATCTATCACAAGAGGCTTCAAGATCTACTGGTGGATCGAGATCCACTGGTTGGTGACTACTGCTTTGAAGATTCTAGCTGCACTGAGTATGCCCCAGGCTACCACAGGTCAACTGGACTATAAATGTATGGATGATAGAGCCACTGGGCTCACTCCAACCTAGGGTTGCAACCTAGGCCTACAAATGCTTCTGCCTGGCTGCTGTGGTACTCTTGTGGTCTCAGTGGCCCCTTGCCTGGTGTCTATACAACATGGTGAAAAAGATGACGCATGAATCATATACAGAGGAGGAGGAACATAAGTGAGGAGAGGAAATGAGATTCAGGGGACAAGAGAGGGGAAGGAGGAGAACGTGGTTTGGGATAGGAGGAGAAGGAGGGAGTACAGTATTGGGACAGAAGTCAGGGAGAGCTATGAGACGATAGAAGGGTTGTGGCGGGGAGGGTGAGAGCTGTGGAAATGGGAAAGGAGGAAAGAGTGAGTGGAAAGTGAGGACAGGCTGGCGCTGGGGCCAGGGACAGGCAAGAACTGCAACAGGGATATGAAGAGCTAAAAGCTGGGGAGAGAGGGATAGGAGCAGTAACGGAAAGCATGAGTATCTCTAAAGCAGTGATTTCCAGCCAGGGTGCAGTGACATCTTTGGGTGCCATGAGATCCTTTTAAGGATGCTAGACGGTGCTTCATAATATTAGCACTGTTAGGTATACAAACACGATTCACATGATAAACCAGAGATTTCAATTAGGAATCTACAGTGTCAAAAATATTCTGACTTGTTGTGGTCTTTCTGAGTTCTTTGCAACAAAAGAATGTGCTATTACTTTTCCATAGTCAAAAAAACATGTAAAAGCGAAGGGCTGGCATTTTCTGAGGCCTGTCTTGTGTCTAAAAGGACTGAGAATCACTGCATTAAAGCAGCCTCCCCTGCAGAAACTGAGTGACCCCATTATGCCTGAGTCAGCATTCCAGTGCTGTCTAGTAAATAGACATGAAATGGACCAAGGGAGTGTGCCCATTTCCCCCCTTGTGGCAGGTCCATGTGAAAGGGAGCGGGCTTCTACTGCAGCCAGTTTCTTTCTTAGCTCCAGAGGCAGAGGCCTGTGCTCTGGATCCAAGCACCTTGGTTGCACTAACAACCTTAATTCTTCTGCTTCCTAACTTTTGCATGCTTCACTTAGCAACACTAACATTATTTTAACAAGTATTTTGAGTGCAATATTTGATCTAGAGCAAGAGCAGTGTGGACAGAAATGTGATACAGCAGAGT